GGACATCTCTAGCTTGGCCGGATAGTAGGAAATGCCCTGTGCAGCGGGAGAGCTCCCCCACGTGGCTGCATCTCAGTGGTGCAGGTGCCGCACCATTTCTAAGCCCAATGGAGCATAACACTGCTGAAAAGGGGGATGCGGAGGCTGAATCCAGGAACTGCCTTCCATGGGGGGAAAGACTTCACCAGCAGAAGGTCCCTGTGGCAAATTCGGGGGATGGATTCTCCTCCCTGCACACCGCTGTGCAGCACAGACTCCTGGCTTTCTCTGCTGCTCTTCCAGGGTGCCAGGGGACGCTGCTGTGAGGAAGAGGAGGAAACCCATTTCTGCCAGTGATTGACACAGTGGGAGGATTACTGTCCAGGACTGTAGCCACTGCATTTCCTTTCCCCTTCCCTCTCGTTGTTCCTTCTCCAAGCAGCAGTCAGTCACTGCTCTCAGGGCCATCAGACCTGACATGCTCGCTAGCTGTGCCTTGGAAACAAGGAGCTCTCAGGCAAACGGAAGGTCTATGGGGGTGAAGCAACTAAGGGGTAGGCCTGCCTCCCAATGCAAAGAGTGGGGCACGCGAGGGAAGGAAGCAGAAACACCCTCCGGATACCTGGGCCCAGGCGATGCCAAACAGACGTTGGCCCCATCCCAGCTGCTGGAACACCCCAGCACCGCTCCCTGGTTGCTTCCATGACCTCAGAGGAGCAGCAGGTGCAATTTTTTCCATGCCAACAATGTACGGGGGATGGGGAAGGATCAGAGGAAGCATCCCCAGCACTGAGGATGGAGCTCTGCTTCCAGGCCCGGATCTGGAAATCCAAAGGATCCCTTCACTGCGCACGTTTGGGGTGGATCTGCATGCGGTGGGGGGGGGGTCCGTCCATTTTCAGAAGGCTGCATTTGAGCAAAGGCTTCTGCAAGGATTTGTCCGACATCCAGTTGTGTCAATGAGCACACAGCAGCATGGAAGGAGCCCAACACCCCACAAACTGCCAATGGAACAGTTGACAAATTCCGCGCATGCCTACACAGCCCTCAAATGTACGTTACGATTTTGAAGGCGGCTCAGCCCTTCTCTACCCAAGAGAGTTGAAAGGATGCTGCCGTTAAATGCAGTCTGTCAAGTGTGCAGAGTTGGACGCAACTGCGCATTTCAGGAAAGAGCCAGGTGTATATCATCATGAACTGAACTTCAGCACAGGGAAACGTTTCCCTCTTGTGTTGAAGTTCAGCATAGCAAGACAAGTGCCATCAGTCGTCTTTTCAGCAACAAGATCTCTGCAGAAATGCCAGGAAAGGCTTTGCCGATGCCACACTGTGTTCTAGGCAGAGACATCATTGGTTTACATATGGCTGAGCGAAGAACACTTTTTTCACGCTTCCATGATCGACACTGTACAGTAGCAGTATTATAAAGTGATTTAACAGTGTTAATTTTAAGAAGGGACCTTTACATTGGTTGATTCTGTACTCGCTTCTTTCTTTCTCGTTTCCGATGCCCAAAACCCTTGTGAAAAACAGGGCAGTCGTCTCTCTATCCATGAATGCAGAGAAATGACCAGTGGGCGAAACTAAAATTTATATTTAGAGACAGTGCTTTCGGCTTCAGCCCTCATCAGGAGCAGTGATGTGGAATGTATACCAAGAGCGGCAGCTTGGATCGCTGGCAGATGAAAATCCCAAGAAAAGAAACAGGGAAATGGAACAAAGCTTATGGAAACCATCGCTAACTCTGCATGGAGAGTCTGTGGGACAGAGCTTTAACTGAGCAAAACATTTGGTAAACATACGGTAAGAAAGGGGCCGGGAAGCCCCACCCAAGCGAAAGTGATCCTTGGGGAGAGGTGGTGCGAGAGACATTTTAGATGCTGGAGATGTCCAAGACCATTGGGAATGGAACTGGAACAATGTCATGTAGATGACATTTGGTGTTTTACCATTCACAGCATGGTTTGTAATGTCTTGCGTGGCTGTGCTGAATTCTTGGACGGGGCGCTGTGCATTCTCCATGCCTGTGGTATCCTGGCAGTGTGAGGGACAGGCCA